ACTGCCCCTGCACCTCTGGCCTGTACCCCAGTTCCCAGTTCTGTATGCATAAATAAGAAAAGAAAAAAAAAAAGAATCCAGGGTCTAGAGATGGAGACAAGAAGAAACATTTCTCCTATTTGAGATGCTAAGCTATAGGCCTGTGTGCTCTGTACCTACTAGGTATTAACCCAGTAGCAATGTGTGCCTTGTCTCATCAAGACATATTCTAGAATATTCATAGCTACCTTAGTTATAATAACCCCAAATGACATGCTACTATCACCAATAGTAGGCAGGATAAATTACAGTATTCTCATAGGCAGAATATCAGACAGCGCAACAGATGAGTTTCTCACACATGATTCTGCGAGAAAGAAATCAAAGCCAGCAGAGGAATCCAAGCCAGCAGTGTTCGTTGGCTCTGTGTCCATAGTGGGGACCGAGGGACACCAGGTTTCTTGGCCCCGGTACTGATTACTCGGCTGTGTTTAGTTTGTCACATCCACTGAGCTGCCACTTTCTGCCATTCAATAGTTTTTTCCAAGGAGACAACCTGGGGACCCTCGCTGGTGGTGCAGCAGGTTAAAGCACAGCACGATGAATCTAGCGGCAGCTGCTTCAGCACGAGTTCAATCCCCAGCCCCGGAGGAGACCCACAGTGCGCAGCAGACCTCTCCTGTCTCCCCGCTGCTCCCTTCAGCAGTGTACTCCATCAATCTGCCTTCTCCGCTCCCCACTCTGGTGAAGCCTCTCACTACCCCTGCACCTCTGGCCTGCACCCTAGTTCTATAAGCACAAATAAATCCTTAAAAAAAAGAAGAAGACAAACTTGGATAAACACGCAGTACTCATGAGGTTTGAGAGTCAGGGTACCCCAATCTACAAGGAAGGAATTGCAAGCACATGGACCATTTGCTTATTAGGGCCTAACCAAGCAGAGGGGGACCCATCCAAAGATGAAAGAAAAGGGCTCTCCCTGTGGCACAACAGGGCAAAGCACAGCACTCCTAGCTGCTGGCAGCCCCTGCAGCGTGAGTTCGATCCCCAGCCAGGGAGTGACCCACAGGGCGCAGCAGACCCCTCCTGTCTCCCGCTGCTCCCCTCAGCAGTGGACTTCAGTCCACCTGCCTGTTCTGCTCCCCACTCTGTCTCTGGTGACTCCTCTCATGCCACACACGTCTGCCTGCACCCCAGCTCTTGGATGCATAAATAAATAAAATAAGACTTTTAAAAACGTGGCGGATTTTGAGATGGTGGCTGGCATCGGGATGAGGGTGACCGCAACAGTCATCATGACCGGGCTGCAGCCTTCGAGGCCAGCAGGCACCAGCAAGGGTCAGGGTCAAGGTAGGGGGCTTCACGGAGGAGGTGGCTGGTGTCTCCTCTGTCAGCCAGTGGGAGCAGGCGAGTTGGTGGGGGTGTGCCGGGGAGGCTGGGCCGGGGTGGGGTGCGGACAGGCTTTTGCAGGGAGCGCACATAAAGGCTGAGCAGCCTGTGCGACGTCCTCCCCGTCCCTGGATTCCCCAGGCCAGATGCTGTGGCTTTAAACTAACCGCCCTGCGTCATCTTCCCCTTGAATGAGTCTGGCCCCTTTGGCCTGCCCCCTGAAACCCCACCCTCATGGCCCTGGCCCAGGCTGGGCCCACGCCTTGCCTTCCCCCAGGGCCTCCATCTCCCCGCGCCTGGCCACTGCCTCCAGCGGCCCCCTTAGTTCCGCTGTCTGTGCTAAGTCGAGCTGTCCCTCTGCAGTGCCCTTCAAGCCTGGACGCTGTCCCGTCTCCAAGCCCCCAGAGGTGCCACAACACTAACGACCTGGAGACATTCTCTTGCCACAGCTGGAGGCGAGGGGCCTGCTGGTATAGGGCTGCAGGCCCGGAGATGAGGCTGAACAGCCAGAACCAGGACAGCCCCTAGAAATCCCTCCTCCCCCACGTTTCGGCCTCCCTCAAGCTTCATAGCTACTATGAGAGCTACTTTGAGTCTTCACAGTTCATGGAGCTGGAAATGATTCCCGTTTTACAGGCAGGAACATGGAGCCTCAGAGCGGGCGCCAGCCCCCATGTCAAAGGGGCGGGGCGTGAAATCCTGCCCTGATTACAAAACACGTCATCAGCATCGAGCCTTTCACAATCTCTGCACCAAGTTCACACCGCACTTTCGGCTCCCAGAGGACCAGCCCGGAACGCATCACTCCAGTCGGGGCTCTCGCACTGACCGGAGCCTTGCACTCTCTGTTCCTTCAGCCGGCAACACCCTTCCCTGCCCAGTTTGTCGGTGAGAACATCTCTTCTCCCCTGCTGCTCTCCCCTGGAGGAAGGTGCCCCCTTGCACCCTGAGAGAGAGATGACGGGGGGAGGGGCGTGGACAGAGGTGGGGCCGGCAGGGTCTGGGCGTCTCTCAAAGGGGACAGAACCAGATCAGGAACGGAACCCAGGTGATCCTTCCTTCTGTTTCTTCCCTGGCTTTGGGTTACATGTGAAGTGACGTCAACTATCTGGCCAACTTCACTGTTACAATCACGGAGAAAATAAAAAGGCCCTGAACCAACCGCGCTTGCCCTGAAACTTGCTAAATTCCCTCCAGTGTCCAATCAGCTGACCGCCATGGCCCCGACTGGGCGGGGGGCCGAGCACATGCCCTTCCTGACAGGGTGGGGGGCGGCGGGAAGCCAACCACCTCCCGAGCTGATTCCCAAGAAAGAGAACTGCAGCCCAGGCTCTCCCCAACGGCCCAAGCCGCGGGGGTCAGTGCAAGCCAGTTGAGCTGCTGGCGTTGCCCAGCGGTTTGAGGAAAACGAAAATGAATCATCCTCAAATACACGGTCCAGACTGCCTGAGGTGTGTGGGCCGCAGGCCTCTGCTTCTCACTTGACATTTGGGCACAGAGGGGCAGTGTTGGGGTGGAGGGGTTCTCTGCCTCCCCAGGCACAGGCAGGGGTAGCGGTCTTCTCTCTGGCACATGCTCACCCAGGCTGCCTTTTGACAGATAAAGTTACAGAGAGAGCACTGGGGTTTCTTTAGCCTCTGGCTGCTTGGCTTCAGGCCCAGAGCTGGGGGAGAGAGCGGTTTTGTTCCCCGGAGTGATATGCTCAATCCGTCCATTTAAATGAGTACAAGATGGTAATAAAATTGGCTGGCGGGCTCGTGGGGCAGAGAAAAACCACCCGGCCTCCCCAGGTGGGCATCCGGAGCCTGGCTTGTCGGGTCCCTGGACTAAGGCTCTGTTTTATTCATTTATCTGTTTAAAGATTTATTTTTTATTTATGCATAGAGACCTGGGGTACAAGCCAGAGGTCAGGGGCAGTGAGAGGATTCACCAGAGACAGAGTGGGGAGCAGAACAGGCAGATGGACGAAGTCCACTGCTGAGGGGAGCAGCGGGTGGGTCAGGAGAGGTCTGCTGCGCCCTGTGGGTCTCCTCTGGGCCCGGGGATCGAACTTGCCCTGAAGTGGCTGTGGCCAGCTTACAGTACTGCATCCTAACCCGTTGCGCCACCTGGGAGGGCCAGGTTCTGTTTTAAAGCAGAAACATTTGGCTAAAAGTTCTGTGGGGCATTAAAAAAATAAATCCTGGGGCAGTTCATGACGTAGAAGCTCATGAGAGCAACTGCAGGCGAGGAAGATGGTGGCAAAGGAAAGAAGCAGGATGCCTGCCCAGTCCCAGGACCCCCTGCTGGAGACGTACAAGGGGGGCAGGAAGACAGGAGTGACGTTGTGTCTGGGGCTGAGTCTGGTGTCAGAGGCCCTGGGTTCAGATCCCGCCTCCGCACTTACCTGGAACCTGAGTCTCCACGTTCCTGCCTGTACTTTGGGAATCATTTCCAGCTCCATGAACTGTGAAGACTCAACTGCTGTGAGGAGGTGCTCAGTCCCTGTCTCATCGTAGCGATGAAGCTTGAGGGGGGCTCAAACAGGGTGGGGGTGGGGCAGATTTCTAGATGGCAGAACACTGCAGAAATAAGCCCTGGATTCTACTCCCTGCTATAGGTCCCAACACTCTTCAGCTCTCTGCATTAGAATGGGCATAGCATCTGTTCACAACTGAGCCTGGAGAAAGTGTAGGGTGTAATTAAAATAGCCAGGATCTCAAAATGCAACACACCTCTCCCTCCTGCTGGGTGTCTCTGCTGGGACAGAGCTGGCCACGAAGACGTCAGAGGAGGAATCAAATAAGAACTAGACTGAGACAAGGCTATCATTTTCCATTTTCATTTATAAGGACAAAGATTGCCCAGAGCAAAAAGAAAAATCAAGTATTTTCCTTCATGTGATTATAAAAGGAAGCGCACAGAGCCTCTGCTCTTCCTCCTCCCATCTCGCAGTCCCACCTCGCGCAGAAAGCAGGAAGCCTAAAACCGCCACCCACAGCCCTTGGAAGGCGCTGGGATTTCTGGAGGCTACGCTCTAGAAGAGCAAAGGAGGCCCTAGATTGCTGACGACGTGACACTTTGGGATGTCAGCCTGACACCAGCAGGCTCTGTGCCCGAGGCAGGAGTGTGCCCAAGACTCTCAACCCAGCTGGAGAGAGAACCACCAGAGAGGCTGCTCATGAAGATTCCAGCCCTGGCCACACCCAGACCAGAAAGTCAGAATCGCCAGCCCTCCCTGGTGGCGCAACAGGTTAAAGTGCATCACCCTGAAGCTAGCTGAAGCTGCTTCCGTGCAAGCTCGAGCCCCAGCCAGGGAGCTGACCCACATGACGCAGCAGACCCCTCCTGACCTGCCTGCTGCTCCCCTCAGCAGCATATTCCAATAGATCTGCCTGTTCTGGTTCCCACTGTCTTTGGTGAATCTTCTTACCTCCCACTCCTCTGGCCTACACCCCAGCTCTTGTATGCATAAGATAAATAAATCTTAAAAAAAAAAAAAAACCCTCAGAGCTCCAGGTGCAGGCTTCCAGGTGTTTTAAAACTCTTCAGTGATTCGAACACACCTCAATTGTTTAGAATCACTTGGCAAAGAGCTTGGGGTTTGGAGCCAGATGCCTGGGTTCAAACCTCCTTCAAAGGCCACTTCTAAACTGCATGACCTTGGACAAGTCATTTTTTGCCATGCTGACTCCTCATGAATAAAATAAGAATAGTTTGAGATAACAGTGGTCAGGATTAAACAGAGAGGATGGGCTATGGCAGACTATTCACAATAGCAGGATGTGGAAACAACCTAAGAGTCTCCCAAACAGACGACCGGATCAGAAAGTTGTGGCGTATTTACATAATGGAATATTACTCAGCGATCAAAAAAGACAAGACATGTCAGATGGAGCTGGAAGGAATTATGCTAACCGAAATACGTCAGAAGGAAAAAGATAAATATCAGATGGTTTCACTTACATGCAGAATACAGAGAAACCAAACGCAGAGTCAAGGAAAAAAACAATACTATGGCACTGCCGGTAGATCTGAGCATCCAGGGAGGGAGGGGGAGGAGAGGGGGGAGGACAAGTGAATCTGGTGCCGGATCACGGGTGATAGCACAGGCTCTTTGCACAATGCCTGGGGTCTAATCTAAGCTGGCTAAGTATTCTTCATGACTATGACAACATTTCTGAATAATAACAGCCCTTCAGAACAAGACGACCCAGGGGAACACGCAGATGAAGACAGCAGGCTCTGGGGGCGCCACTGTCCGGCAAGGAGGGGGTTAGGGTTAGGCTCCAAGGCGGCAGAGAGACGCTCACACTCAGGGTCCTGAAGTGCCAGCTGCCAGCTCCACACCTTGGCCCTGCACAGAGCCAGCCACGTGGCTGGTCGGCGACTTCCTGTCCTGTCTGCAAACGGAAGCCACCATTTAGCCTTCTCGTGTGTTCATGAGGGCGAGTGACAGACATTTCGTGCAGTAACAAGACAACACAAACAGAGAAGCTAGCTCAGAGCCTCACTCACGGTGAGTGATGGGGTAATGAGACAGGGATGCTGTTTCTTAAACACGCTCGCTGCAAGTGACGGCAGCGTTTCAGATCTGTGGGGCTATAGATGTAGTTAGAATTCAGCAACAGTGGGCCTCCCTGGTGGCACAAGGTTATAGTGCTACCAAGTTATTGGCAGCCACTGCAGCACAAGTTCGATCCCCGGCCAGGGAGCTGACCCACAGGGCGCAGCAGACCTCTCCTGTCTCCCTGCTGCTCCCCTCAGCAGTGGATTTCAGTAGATCCGCCTGTTCTGCTCCCCACTGTGTCTCTGGTGAAGCCTCTCACCTCCCACACTCTGCACCTCTGTCCTACAACCCAGTTCTTGCGTGCATAAATAAAAATAAATCTTTCTAGAATTCCATGCAGGAGGTCCTCTGCTAAATACTGTCCCTCCCTGCCCACCGCCTACAGTGGAGTCTTTCTGGGAATCTGCAGGCATCACAGTCTCAGGCTACTCAGAGATGCTCAGCAAGGCTCACTGAGGTAGTCCTGATAGCCCCTGGCTCCCCTGGGCCCCAGAAGGCAGCAGACTTTCCAGGAGCCACTTTGAAACAAGCTGGACCCCCTTGGCATCATGGTGCCAGGCTGGCAGGGACAGAGACTGTCCTGAGTAGCCCCAGCCTAATTAGACTCATTTTGAGATTTGGCTCAGGGCATAGTACACAGAACAAGAGATGGTCCTTGACACATTGCTGTTTGTGAATTTGTCTTTTCTTATCCTCTAGACTTTCCCTGTCCAGCGTAGTAGCCACTGGCCACACATGGCTGTTGAAAGGTAAATGCACCGAGATTGGATAAGATGCAAAATCCACCTGGTTGGCCACACTCACTGCTTCCATTCCTCTCGCTAGCATCGCTTCGGTGAGTGAATTCCCTATTGTATTGTGAAGGTGAGAGCCTCACTCCTCACCTGACCCCCCTCCTTGCTGGGGGGGGGAGGTGAGCCCCCCAGAGCCTACTGTCTTCATCCTTGTGTTCTACTGGGTCTTAGTGTTCGGAAGAGCTGTTGTTATTCGGAAACATTGTCGCAGTGTTCACAAATTCTTATCCAGTTTAGATTAGGACCCAAATATTGTGCAAAGAATCTTCCCTTGCCTCTCTTAACGTGAGCACTGTAGTATAAAACCATTTTTAAATTAAATTAATTTATTATTTTGTAGTAGAACTGGGGTGTAGGCCAGAGGTGCAGGGGGTGAGAGGATTCACCAGAGACAGAGTGGGGAGTGGAACAGTAGGATTTACTGAAATGCACTGCTGAGGGGAGCAGCGGGGAGACAGGAGAGGTCTGCTGCGCCATATGTGGGTTAGTTCCTTGGCCAGGGATCAAACTCAGGCCACTGAGTTGGGTTGTTGTGGTTATAGGGCTGAGACATAACCCTTAGGCCACCAAAACTATTCTTATTTTATGAACGAAGAAACCAGAAGGCAGGAAAATTGGCTTTATTTCTGTTATCACAGAAAGGCTCACTGGGCAGTGCTTTTCTAGGCCAAGAGTTGGCAAACCTCAGCCCCCTCCGCACCCCGTCCACCTCCCCCAGGCCAAAGCCAGGCTGTGGCCTGGTCAGGTACAGCCTGCAAGCGGCTAAGTTTTGATTTATTTATTTGTTTTTAAAGACTTATTTATTTATGCATACAAGAGCTGGGTGTAGGCCAGAGGTGCAGGGGTTGGGGCGGTGGCGGGGTGGGGAACGATGAGAGGATTCACCAGAGACAGAGTGGGGAGCAGAACAGGCAGAAGGACTGAAATCCACTGCTGAGGGAGCAGCAGAAACACAGGAGAAGTCTGCTGCGCCCTGTGGGTCACTCCCTGGCAGGGATCAAACTCCTGCTGCAGTTGCTGTTGATAGCTCGATAGCAGTGATATTTTAACCCTTATGCCACCAGGGAGGGCCCAGTTTTTATCTTTTTAAAAGATAAAATAAACCAAAGAGGACATACTACGGAGACATGGAGGCCACTAAGTCCACTATGCTTCCTATTGTCCTGGGCAGAAGGCAGCCACCCCGACTCTGGCCTGTGTCCTTGAGGGCAGACTCCCAGTGGGGTCTTCCTGTCACGTTCTGACATGTACCTGGCTAATATGGGCCTCACTCACACCTGAGCGGGAGAGACAACACATGTGGTTTTCCGAAAGACCACCATCACACACTTTAATTTAGGTGACTGGAAGCCAATTACCACCCCTCCCACACCCGAGAACACAAAGGGACGGAGGGCAGGGATGGCTAATGGGAGAGAAACCCAGCATAATACAGATGCCCAAGGGGGCCCTCCCTGGTGGTGCAAGGGGCTGGATCTCAGCGCTGTGATGCTCTTCGCAGCCACCGCAGCATGGGTTCGATCCCTGGCCAGGGAGGGACCTACAGGGTGCAGCAGACCTCTCCTGTCTCCCCGCTGCTCCCCTCAGCAGTGTACTTCAGTCCATCTGCCTGTTCTGCTCCTAATGTGTCTCTGGTGAATCCTCTCACACCCCCATACCTGTAGCCTGTACCCCAGTTCTTATATGCATAAATAAATCTTTAAAAAAAAAGAGTTCTTTTCAAAACTGTCAAAGTCGGGACACTCCAGGACAAAGGATGCTCCCCTACTGGAAGAGAGAGGGGCCCTGGCTACGGAAGTCCCCGAGGGCCTCAGGCTGGATCCTGGACCCAAAAAGACACTCGTGAGACAACAGACACCCCCAGGCGCCAGAGGGTCGGTTATGAGATGTCAATGTGAATTTTCTGATGTCCCGTCCCCACCCTGCGGTCATTCAAGGCAGCAGGTTAGAAGTCGCCTGAGGGGAGACGAGGACACCCCACTGAGGCAACTTCTCTGTGGGTAAAGTGATTTCAACCCACAAAGTGTCTTAAAGAAAGGTTTTTAATCCCCCACCAGCCGTCAGGACCTCTCACAGCCAGTCTGGCGCACCTCTGTGCTGAGGCACTGCCTCACGTCACTCACAGCTCCGAGAGAACCTTCCAGATCACATGGACTTGCATCCAAGCCACAGCTGAGCCCCTGGGCACTCCCTGACCGATGTCCTCCATGGTCACATCCCCTCCTCAGAGGGGCCCTCCTGCACGCTCTGGGCTAAAGAGGCCTCGCCCTCACAATCCCTTTGAGTTTGTGGGGTGCACTTACGCTCCCCAGCGCTTTCCCCCAAGGGTGCAGCCACGACTCAGGAGCCTTCCGGCTCCCTACCCTGCTTGCTGATATGCCCGCCTCCACGCTGGCCACAGCAACAGCTTCTCCAGCTGCCTTGCACGCAGCAGTATCCATGGTTCCTGGCCGGGGACAGGCCTGACCTGGCCGCTTGGCAAACATCACAAACCACAACTGGCGTCCCCTGCTCCTGCAGTCACTGTTTGTTCAGGCCCTGCCCAGCCCAGGTCTCCGTGTGCCCGTGGGAACAGGGTGGTGAGGACAACTTACTCATAAAACTCCGCTGCCGGGGTGAACTTGTACTTAGAGTATTTGGTCTGGTTGCCCAGCACGGAGCTGTTGAGGAGCTTGGGGTCGGTGCAGTTGGGGCTGTTCCAGGCGTGGCCACAGTTGGTCCAGGGCAGGTTGAAGGTGAAGGAGGAGAACAGGTAGTACAGAGACCAAGCGATGATCACGTTGTAGTAGAAGCCGACGTAGAGGGCAATGAGGATCACAGCGTAGCCGACTCCTGGGGGGGAGGCGGGTCAGGCGGGGTTTCCCTGGCCCAGCTCCAGAACCACCTCTCCTGCAGGCCGGCTGCAGCTACTGTGGCACCTCTGGCTTGTTCTCCCTATGGCGGGCTGTCAGAGCCTCCTAGCACCACCCCACCCCTCTGCCTAAGAGCTTCCTCTGACCACTGCAGCTGTCCTCTCACCGGGCAGCTCAGAGGTTCCAAGGCCTTCGACCTCCAGGGAGAAGCTGGGTCAGGCATGGGAGTGTCAGAGTCCGGGCTCCCGCTTCCTCGCCCCGGGCAGGAGGGTGCTGAGGGTGTGCCCACTAGCTCCCAGCGGGACAAGCTGCTTGTTTAGGGTGGATCTAGCTTCGCAGCTGCCCCCCATTTCCATACCCCTCATTGTACCTTCCTGTGATCACCTCTAAAATAACTCCCTCCATTTAAATCCTGCTTCAGGGCTCTCCCTCGTGGGGTGAGGTTAAAGCACAGCACTAGGAAGCTGTCCGCAGCCCCTGCAACATGAGTTCGATCCTCGGCCAGGGAGGGACCCACAGGGCGCAGCAGACCTCTCCTGTCTCTCTGCTGCTCCCCTCAGCAGTGGATTTCAGTAGATCTGTCTGTTCTGCTCCCCACTCTGTCCTTGGTGAATCCTCTCCAGTCCTTTGCAACTCTGGCGTATACCCCAGTTCTTGTGTGCATAGAATAAATGAACCTTAAAAAAAAAATTCCTGGGCCCTCCCTGGTGGCGCAGCGGGTTAAAGCGCAGCACTGAGAAGCTTAAGCCGCTTCCGCATGAGTTTGATTCCCGCCTGCCCCGGAGGAGACCACAGGGCGCGGCAGATCTCTCCTGACCCGCCCGCTGCTCCCCTCAGCAGTGTACTTCATCCATCTGCCTGTTCTGCTCCCCACTCTGTCTCTGGTGAATCCTCTCACCCTCCGCATCTCTGGCCTATACCCCAGTTCTATATGTATAAATAAATAAAAAAAAAATCCTCCCGTTTCAGAAGAATCCTAAGCAAGTGTTGGGATCAGAACTTCACACTCTGTGTGTTCGCTGAGTCGTATTTTCAACCACCTGCTTTGTACACCAATCACATCTTCCTAAATGTATCAGAAGTTCCTCTAAGGCAAGTTGTACAGTGTTGGCCTAAAGTACACATTTTTTTTTCCTTGCCTCATATCACTTTAAGGGGTTAACTTTATGTAATTTTAAAAGATTTTCTTTATTTATGCATCCAGAACTAAAGTACAGGCCAGAGGTGCTGAGGGGTGAGAGGCTTCACCAGAGCCAGAGTGGGGAGCAGAACAGGCAGATTTATAAGGTACACTGCTGAGAGGAGCAGCAGGCGAGACAGGAGAGGTCTGCCGTGCCCTGTGGGTCACGTCCTGGGTGGGGATCGAACTTGCACTGAAGCAGCCACGGCTTTGCTTAGCTTGGCAATGCAGTGCTCCAGGGAGGGGAAAAGGCTAGCTTTTAATTTAACATTTCTACATTTTAAAAGGATAGGTTTATTAGGAAAAGGAGAAAGAAAAAGAAAAAGAAAGGTGCCTGCGTAGCCACAGGTGGGCAGGAGAACCTGTGAGGTTTCTGTGAAGTGAATTTCCTACTAGCTGTAAATATACGCTCAGGCCCAGCCATCCCCACCGTGACTGGTTGACACAAGGGAATATGATTCAAGCCAAACCCATGAGAATCTTCTCTGAGGCCTTTAAAGAACCCATGAAGATTGAAAGTGTTTTTGTTTTGTTTTATCATTGTTAATCTTGGAAGGATCTGATGTAGCATCTGAGAAAAATAAGCCTGAGACTGATGCTAGGGCTGAAGAAAGCAGACGTGACAAGGAGTGCGATTGAAATAGATCCCAAATAACACAAAGCAGGCACCTGGATCAAGCTGTACCTGAAGCTACAACCACAGCAGGACTTTACTGTATCATAAATCAATAAATTCTCTTTTATAGTAAAGCCACTCTGAATGGAACTTATGGAAATTAAGCCCCCCCAAGGCCTAAGTAACACACATGTCTTGAAAGGCTCATGCACCAGCCTGTATGTATCACAGGTCTGAGTACACAGGAGGTGCTCAGGAGACATGTGCCAGCTGAGAAGAGGCTCATGGGAGGGCCACGGCCCTGACTGCCATCTGGGCCCAGTACTCTCACCAGTGCTTGAGAGATACGAATTCTTACTCTGTGTCCTCACAGCTGTGTGGGGCCAAGATATAGTGGTTGCTACGACCCATTCCTCCAGAGATTTGCTAAGCCCTGATACAGGGTTCCCCTTGTATCCCAGCTGTAATCAAGTTGTGGCCGTTGTGCTAAAGACTGCAAGGCTGCACTGAAAAGCTCTGAGATTGATTCATCATGTCTGCCATGGGGGCCAGCGGAAGCAATGGTCCTGTGTGCACTGGGGACTTTGGGCCCTCCTGTATCTCCTGCCTGGGAGAGCAGTCTCCCTCTGGTCACTCAGCTGGCAGGAAACCCAGTCTTTTTAGGCTGGTGAGTTATTTACACACCAAAGTTCTGCCTAGAACTCTGAACTCTGGACATCCTTGACCTTGTCAATGCCTGCAAATCTCACAAGATAGTCGATGGACCTCAGGTCCCACGTTAGGAGCAGATTCTCTGAGGGGGGCCACAGAAGGTTTTTGCGCAATCTTTGGTTCCCCCAGAGCTGTGCCTTACCTTTGAAAAACGGGCAGATCTTCCAGACGGTGGCTGCACCCTCCCGGTTGAATTGGCCCAGAGCCAGCTCCATGTAGAACAGGGGCATCCCCGCAATGATGAGGAACAGGGTGTACGGGATCAGGAAGGCACCTGGAGAACACAGAGGCAGGTGACCCCGAGCCCACCTGGGACCTGCCCTCAGAGGTTGCCCTGGCCCTCATTCGCCTGTTCCCCACCATTTCCCGAGGGGGTGCCGGGGTGGGTATACCCAGTTAGCCAGAGCAACTCTTGCAGCTCATCACAAAGCAGTCACATTAGAGTAGGTGTGGTCACAATTACAGAAATACAACAGATCACAACTGAGTGATTTCAAATTAGGAAAAGACAAAGACAACGGAGGGTCCCGTTTCTTGGGGGACCCTCCCAGACTTTGATACACACGCACACAGTGTGAGCTCCAGCAGGGACATACAGTCTGTACCAAGACGATTTAAACCCCGTGTTTTCTTGCATGGATCACCACTCTGGGAAATGCCCATCACCCCCAAACCTCTCCTTTTACTGACAGGAACACAGACACCAGAGAAAGAGCACTGTCCGAAGTGACATACGACCGAGCTGCTAATTTGGCTCATCCTGGTCTTACTCTCAGGTCACGTGGAGCGTTTCCAAGCACGCTCTTACTGCATTATTCCCCCAACAGCTCAGGGACATGAGCAGAAGGCAGAGAAGGGTGTGGACTTGCTGCGGTCCGCTGGTGAGGTGGTCTTCAGGTCTTCCGACCTCGGGCTTGCTCTGTTACCAGAGCTGCAGGTACACAGGCACACAGCCAAGCGGGCTCAAGTCCCTGACTGGGGCGGGTGCCCACGGGAGCAATGATCCCTGGGGGAAATCCTGCTGGACCTGGACGTCTGCGGGCCAGGGACACGTCCCAGGGGCCATGCAGCCCCAGGTGTGCTCAGTGGGCGCTGACGCTTCCAGGTGACTCACGGGGAGGCCTGCCATCACAGTGTAGTTGCCAGCCCAGCGTGAACAAAGCGAAACGCCAGCTTCTTCTCCTGATGCAGCTGGAGGTGGTTTTGGCTGAGATGCTGTCACCTTGGAAACCAAACACCGGGACCCACCCATACCAGGGGAGTGGAGACCAGTCGTTGCTCGCTGATGGGACCCGTGGTCCAGGTACATTACAGATTGCTCTCGTTCAATCTGTACAACGACCCCAAAATGTAAAGACCGTTACCGCCTCTGTTTTACAGATGTAGAAACAGGGGTTCCAGTGGAGAATTCCAGGGTCAAACTCACCCAGATACTCAGACGGTCAGTCTCCATTTTCTTCCTGGGTTTCTTTCTTTCTTGCTTTTAAGATTTATTTTAATTATTTATGCATGCAAGAGCTGGGGTGCCGGCCAGAGATGTGCGGGTGGGATGAGATGAGAGGATTCACCAGAGACAGAATGAGGATTTACTGAAATCCATTCAGCTGAGATCCAGTAGCTGGAGCTACTGAAATGCACTGCTGAGGGGAGCAGCGGGGAGACAGGCGAGGTCTGCTGTGCCCTGTGGGTCACTCCCTGGCCGGGGATCGAACTCGGGCCACAGTGGCTGTGATAGCTTCATAGTGCTGAGACAGCCCTGTGCCTCCAGGGAGGCCCCATTCTGCCTGGTTTCTAAGGGCCCAGGGTTCCTAGGAACGAAGCATGATGCTGACACCCAGCCCCTTCAGTAGCAGGAGCAGGAACAGCAGGTACAGCTGGAGATACTGAGACTTGCTGTGTCCTCTTGGGTGCTGGACGCTCCAGTGGGTTGGAGGTGAGAAAAGTCAGGCCCCAGGGAAACATGGTTCATTGGCTTTTGCTGTTCTTCCCTTTTGCTGTCCAAGAACGTGCGGGGTCTGCGATCCCACTCACCCTCCCAGAGTTAGCGGGGGTAGGAACGGCTAGCCCCATTTTTCAGAGGTGGAAACTGAGGCTGGGAGAAATTAAGTGACTTGATGTAGCTCACTTAGCTTCTCCGTGATGGATCTGGGATCTGCGCCCAGGTCTGCCTGGCCCCAGAGTGCTGGAGATGCTCCCAACATACCCTGCAGGTTCCAGATCATTTCAACCCAGGTGGAAGACACAAGCCCAAACAGGGTTTTGTGAGGAAGGGTGTTCTGGGGCTGGGCTCTGGTGCCAGCAGAGCCACCTGGCCTGTTGGTCACGCTCCAGCCCGGCTCCAGGCTGGACTTCTTGGAAATGGCCCCTGACAAACCCCCACTTCCCCTCCTTGTTTCCGCCTCCACCCTTGCTCCTCACCCACACAGTAAGAACAGCTCTGGCACTGAACTCATATCCACCAAGAGTGAGTGACAAAGTGTTAGGGGTCACCGTGAGGCTGGTGGAACAGCGAGTAGCACTTACTTGACATCTGTGACATGCCAACCCCACAGTGAAATTTTACATAAATTCCCATTTAGAACCATGCCTGAGGCCCTCCCTGGTGGAGCAAGGGGTTGAAGCACAGCACTGTGAAGCTTACCCGCAGCCCCTGAAGCTCGAGTTTGATCCCCGGGCAGGGAGGGACCCACACGGCCCAGCAGACCTTTCTTGTCTCCCCGCTGCTCCCCTCAGCAGCATGCTTCAGTAGGTCTCTGTTCTGCTCCCCATTATCCCTGGTGAATCCTCTCACCCACTGCACTTCTGGCCTGTACTCGGTTCTTGTATGCATAAATAAACAAAGCTTAAAAAAAAATAAAATAAAGTCGTGCCCGAGGGCCACCTTGGTGGCTCAGGGGTTAAAGACAGTACAATCAAGCTACTGGCAGCCACTAAGGCACAGATTCGATCCCCAGCCACGCAGTGACCCACATGGCGCAGCAGACCTCTTCTGTCTCCCCGCTGCTCCCCCCAGCAGTGTTTTTCAGTCAATCTGCCTCTTCTGCTCCCCAAATCTGTCTGGTGAATCCTGTCACCTCCTCCACACCTCTGACCTGCACCCCAGTTCTTGTATGCATAAATAAATCTTTAAAAAAAATGCCAGAGAGAGAATCACTACTGAGCCCATTGAACAGATGAGAAAACTGAGGCTCAGCAAAGCCAAGATGCTTGTCCAAACTAGCCAAGAGGCAATGTGGCTTCAGCTTGGATGTCGGGGTCCTTCTGCTTTGAGGCCCCTGCCATGCCTCTGGAGTTGGCGGCTGGGCCCACACAGCAGGCGAGACAGCTAGCTTCCTGTTTTATAGGACCAAAGGCTGAGGTCAGTGGCCCTGGGGCAGGGAAAGCTGACTCAGGGCTCAGACCTTGGCACAGCACCTTGCCCTAGCGACTTGATGTTCTTACAAAAGGGAAGAACAACCAGATCCAATTAACAGCGTCTGACTTTGGCCTGCGTGTTCTTACCTCTAACCCATTGCCAATAGGTAGGGAAAATGTCCAGCTTGAGATTCATGTGCTTGTGCTTCCAGGGAGCCCTTTAAGGGCGAAGGGGGAATGACGGGTCTCCACAGGCCCAGGCCCTTCTCTGAGGGCACCTGACGCAGGACAGCCAACGCCACAGGTGGAAACAGACCGAGCACACGCACGTCGTTGCGCAGGGATGAAACCAGGAAACTGCTCGCAGCCAGCCGCTCTACAGAAGGACGCGCGGACGGCCAGCCCAGGTCCGTCCAGCAAGGTAAGGAGCGAGTCGGGGCGGGGCGGGGCGGGGCGGGGCGGGGCCAAGGTATCCCAGGAGCCCCCAGTAAAGTGATGCTTGACACCGCTCTGCTGCTACCCAGGGCTCCTGAACCCGCGTCATTTCCTGAGGGAAAGGAGTTTTTGCTGCAATGAGGTGGCTCGTGGCGAGGTCCTCATTGAGGCTGAGCCCCAGAAACGCCGAAGTGTGGTCAGGAACGTGGGAGTTGGCCACACCTGCACCCTCCGGGAGGGCAGGAGGAGGGGTGTACATTGAATATTGAAAATGTGATGAAGGTGCCCCCCAAAATCTGCAAAATACCGGGCTGGGGAGAGCTTCTGGGTTCCTGAGCAGGAGAACACAGGCCCGGGCCAGCAGGGGGCTCGCCTGACTCCCGGGGCAGGACACCCCTGAGAGGATGTCAGAACTGGGCCGGCAGACACCGCTGGGGGCTGAGAGCTCAGGGTGAGGGAACCCCAGGCACAGAGGGCGTCACAAGCGTGCGGCCTGCATACAAACCAGGGTTTTCCTGTTACCCCTTTGCTGGTTCTACAGACCTGGGTGGCTACCCCTGCTGACTGTGTCCGGGCATCGTGAGGGAGGTGGCTTTTCGGGGTAAGTGGGTTCATCACCTGCGTGGCTAAGAAACCTGCATCACTGGGCTGATGAGGAGAAGTAGCTGGAAGCTATGGGGCCCTAGATGGGCACCGAGTCTGCCATCCCACAGGGGAACAGACTGGCACACCTTTGTAAGCTGGAAGCCACCGCTGAGGTGTGCGGAGGGGGGCTGGGTCCTTGCGGAGCAGAGGCAGAAGGCAGGCCAGAGGGTCCCTTGGGGTCCTCATGTCTCTGCACCTGGGGAGCCTGGCTACTCCCCTGATGTCCACACAAAGGTGCTGACCACCAGTCAGCACCAGCCTTCCCACTGGCCACAGCCAGCTCAAGCCCAAAAGACTCTTGGCGTGCTGTCTGGGGGTGGGGCTCTCCTTTAGGGGGAGCAGCTGGACTGCTCAGCCCCTGGCTGTCAGCCCTTTAAGGATTGTCTCAGCTGGGAGGACCGCCTGGCCCGAGGCCGTGCCCCTTTCCGAGGGCCGCAGGTATCCAGTGGCCGATGGACACCAAGCATGTAGTCCTGGGCCCTCACCCTAACTCAGACTGGCCTGGAGGGTCACACCAGCTTCAGGGGCCCCCAGGTCAGCAGAGGCTTTGTGGGGCCTGGCAGCCCAGTCTGTTCATCTGCCCCCTGTGCCGTGCTTTCTGTCATTCAGTACTGGACACAGCCACTCTTACATGCTGGATGTCAGGTCTGGGCCCCCTCGAGCCTCTGTGGTTAAAGAGCTGGACTCCCACGGCCGTTTCTGCAGAACGGTGCTCAGGTTCCCACACTAGACCAAGCCGCGCTCAAGCTGGAGAGACTGCTGGGTGGGGTCACAGCTGAGCCATGGGGTGCAACTCGGATCTCCTTGGGGCCTTCAGCGACCACTGGCCTCAGGCCACTGTCACTGGGCCCTCTTCATGCCACCCCCTGCACTTCAGTGAGGCCGGCCAGGAGCCTCTAAATGCCTCTATACAAGCTCCTGCTCCTATGAAAGGGATTCACCACAAAATCATGAAATCTGATTTTTTTGGCTTCCCCAAGGGGTAGCTCCCTTATCTCACTTTGGGTACTCCAGTTGATCTATGGGTCGGGGCTACCCCTTTCCACGTGGGCTCTCCTCCCACTGCTGTCAACTTCGCAGGGTCTGGGCTTCATTTTATCAAAGAAGCTGGGGCTCCTGAGTTCCCATTTCCTTCATCGTCTTTAAAAGGAACAAATGACGATGGCACGAGGGTTAAAGCACAGCACTGAGAAGCTAAAGCCACTTCAGCACGAGTTCGATCCCTGCCCCAGAGGTGACCCACATGGCGCGGCAGACCTCTCCTGACCCGCCCGCTGCTCCCCTCAGCAGTGTACTTCATAGATCTGCCTGTTCTGCTCCCCACTCTGTCTCTGGTGAAGCCTCTCACCGCCCCTGCACCTCTGGCCTGTACCCCAGTTCTATATGCATAAATAAATAAATCTTAAAAAAAAAAAAAGAAAGAACTACATTACAGAGGGAAACATGACCTACAAAGAACAGAGTAGGACTTCACCTCCTTCATTTGGGCCATAAGGCCTCCAGTAATAGGATCCAAAATGACATTACTTCTAGGTTATCTACAATAGATGCTGAACTCACCTAAAAGCTCATCTCCCTATTCCTGGCCTATGGCGGATCTGTCATAAATGTTTTTGGTTAAATTAAAGCTCTTTTCGGTGACTCACATGAAGGATGAGGCTAATGGAAGTGGATGGGACGTTTCTCCACTTGTGCTGGACTAATCCTTGCGTGGCCAGTCGGGCGTGGGACCAAAGGGCAGGATGTAACATTGAGCCCTAGGAAATGCCACCTGGTGGAATCAGCCCCCCCACCCGATCATCTTTTTAGTCTAACTCAGACCAAGGGGTCAAGTCATGCTGGTGACCCCAGATGCAGATGTCAGCACCGGCCCAGAACTTCATTCCTGCAAACTGTCCAGAGGCCAGGCCAGCTGGCTAGCTCCTGTTCATCCAAGCCAGCCAACCAGTGTCAGTTGTGGCAAGTTCAGGGCACAAACAGCCCTCCAAAATCAACGAGAAGGGCCCTTGAGTTCAGACTCTCCTGTCCTCTGCACCAGCTACCACCTTACACCTGGCCTTGAGCACCCCAGATATCTTGATCAAGAGGGTTCCCAAAAGGCTTAGGGGACCTGAGTTCCTGAGCTTACTTGGGAAAGAAGGAAACTCCTTTCGGGACCAGAATCATATAGCTCATAGAACCCTCCTGGGCCCCCAAGTAGGAATGTTAATCTCTGTTTCCAAACAACAGTGGGACAAGGTTGGCCGTCAGCAGATGGAACAAAGCCCAGATCTTGAGTCTTGGATTCCCCGGCCCAAGCGTGACTACCTTCTGGTCTTAAACCCCGTCATCAGTTTCCTCTTCAAACCAGTTCTGCTCCCTCCCAACTCAACACCGCATCTAAGTCCTGGGTCTCGGCTGTACCTAACGTCAGTAACAATCATAGTGGTAGTTGCGTCGATTGAGGTCTACTCATGCTAGACATGAGTGTGAGCATCAGCTTACACTCTCTACGGCGTCTCCCCCGCGGGAATAATAACCTGGAGTTATTTTCCCTTTCTGCACAAGGGAACAGAGGCCCAGCGAGGGCGAGCGACCAGTCAGGCCACATTTCCCCCGACGTCAGACTGAGATTCCAGCCTGTGTCCGCCTGAGCCCAGAGGCCACGCCACAGTGACAGCGCCCCTGCCGCTGGGTGGGTCCCACATAGCTGCCATCTGCAGCGGGTCACTCCCCGCGGCAGGAAGCCAACACAGGGATCTGGTGACTGTCCTTGCTCCTCCCTGGGGATGAGCACAGACCAGGCTTGTGACCACAGGTGCAGAGCGAGATCCTGCAGCCCTGGAAGCAGCACCATGGTCTCCTCATGTGGGAAGGCTCTGAACACAGCCCTGGAATTTTCAGGAGTGGTTTCCCCACCGAAGCCTCCTGGCCTACGCCGAGCTATTCACACTAGCTGATATTTCCCGGGAATTCATTCAGGAACTATTAGCTGAGGGTGCCAATAAGGGCCTGGCGCCTTGTCATTTCAAAGGACAGCTCCAGCCTGGTCAGCGTGAGCAGCGGGTCTGGGAGGCCCTGTGTTTACACGGCTTCAGCAGGGCACGCGGGCTCTTAGCTACCAGGGCGGGCAGGTCCAGGCTTGGGTGCAGCACTGAGACGGGGTGCTGGAGAGAGATGGATCTTGGAGGGCATCTGAGCTCACCTCTAACTATAATGGGGAGCCTGGGTGCAGAGAGGGGCTGTGCCATATTACAGAGCTGGGGTTTGGGCAGTTTCCACAATTACTGCCATCTGCTGACCTGCTTGCCCGTCTCTGGACTGACTTCAGGATGCCGGGGTGAGCTGACAGGAGGTCCCAGCAAAGAGGAGGCCCAGAAAGGACCCACTGAGTGTCCCCCCAGAAGGGTGAGGAGTGAGTTAAGAGAGGAGCCGCCTGAGTCTCTGAGGGGGTTGTCGGCAGGGTAGATAGCTACACTGTGCCAACTCCGGACAGAAATGAGAAGTCACTGGTGGACTCCTTTCTCCTTAGCCTGGAATTTCAGGTCCACACGCACCCACCCCCCACCAGACTCGCCTCCACCCTAATCTCAGGTGCCTGCACTCCTCTGTCCAAGATGATCTCCCTTCACTGCCACATGAACCTCTCCTAAATGCCTCTCCTCAGGCTTCCAGACCATGGTCATCTCCCTGTCCACAGCACCCCACGTCAGGATGGGCAGTGGCTGCCGCCGTCACAAAGGCCACACCCCACGCCAGCCTGGTCATGCTGAGTCCTCTCTGTCGAATATCGTCATTTCCGTTTCATGGGTGCGGAACCAGAGAGGTGCCCGGGGTCACGGGGTGGAGAGTAGGACCTGGAGGCCATCTGACCTCATGCCGCCAGTCCCATCCAGAGTGACCACAGCCTTTGCTCTTTCTGGAAAGGCTGGGACCCTCTCATGCATTTTTTTCCTGTTCAGTAGCAGTTTGTTGGGTGGCTCCTACCTCACTGTCCAGACCTAAGCCTTCACATGGGCATTCAACCCCAGAAATACTGGGGTGAAAAGCCACAGTCTGCCCCAGCCCATTTGGCGACAGAGCCAGACAGAGACCAGTGACTGAGCATCTCGGCATCGGTGACGTGCAGAGAGAAAAACCCGAGTTCCAGCTGCCTTCACCTGCAAGTTGCAACCGGTACACCTGTGTCCCACTGTGCACACAGGAAACTGGCCTGCCAGTGGGTGCGCTCTGCGTCCATGGCAATGGCCAAGGGGCACACAGGGTCAGCAAAAACCGCAGGCTGTGCATGGAGCTGATGGATATCATTGGCCACCTGGCGCTTTTACTGTCCCCGAGCACTGATGACAATGGGAATAACTCGGAGGAGCGTGACAATGAAAACCTGGGGGGATTAAAACTCCTGGCACGTGGACACGGTGGCTAATACTCCTAGCTGGGCCCTGCGGAGACTCGCACCGAGCCTCACGCCCAGTGGAACCCGACTGACACTGTGGGCTAATGGCAAAGCCCCCCACTGCCTAAGGACAAGCGGGGTGGGGGGGGTGGGAGGGGTGGGGCGGGTCACTGGGATGCTCCGTCTGCCTTTCATCCACCATCTTGTTGCTAAAACCATACAGGATCTGCATTTCTCCTTCCTGAAGTTCAAAGGATCAGAATGTTTAATTAAATCTGACCGGAAACCGATTAGAAGCTGCAGCAGCCGAATATGGAAAAGTTTCGCGCTGGTTTATCTGTTTTTCATTTCTCACCCAAAGCAAGAGTCCAGAATGCGCAGTGAGACACACAGCAGAGTCCCAGTACTTACGGGGCACATATGGGGTGAGCTTCCCCTGGGCCCACCTCCCTCTGGCCCTGGAGTCCTGAGCCTCTCTACCAGGCAGGAAGGGGCAGGGGTGGGGGTCGGGTGGCCAATGGCTAGGGGAAGCTTCCAGGATGCTCCCACCCCAACATCTTCCTCGTGGTCACTTTCCCAGGCTGTCTGCAGGGCACCCCAAACTCATCCCAGCAAAGAGGTCAGAACTGCGCTGGTTGGGACACCCCAGGAGCAAAGGCCCTCAGGATGACCGGCACAGGGACTGCCTCCTGCCTCTGGGGCTATTTTCCCAAAGACTGGACTATATCCTCCCATGGCAGCGGGCTTCTCTCTGAAGGTAGTCTCTTTGGGTGTCCCCGTGGCAGAGTTTCAGTCACTAAGGGACAGAGGCTTTTAGGTACTTTCAGAAGCTCTAAGTCCGCTCTCCACTTTCCCTTTCTCCAAGTCCCTGTCTCCTCCCCTCCCACCCCGACCCCCAGAGTGCTGGATTTAGGGTCAAGGTGTGTCTGGACCCACCCCGTGCACTTCCAGGCCCGGTCTGAAGGTCTTCCAATCACCACCTTCCTTCTTTCATAGAAAGGGCTCTTCCCACTAGCCAGATTCTGCCCTCCACCCCAGCTCCCAGCCCTGGGGAGGCGGGTCTCTCTCGGTTTCCCTTCTTCAAGGGGCTCAGCCCTTTCCGGGGACCCAGTTCCCTCCTGCGTCCCAGACCTGCCCTCGCCCAGCGTCCCCTCTAGTCCCAGCTCGCTTCGCTGCTCCACAGGGGACAGGTCACCCCCCCTCCCCCCAAATTCGGACCCTCGCCCATGGGGAGCTCACCGCCACCGTTCTTGTAGCAGAGGTAGGGGAAGCGCCACACGTTGGCCAGGTCCACGGAGAAGCCGACCACCGACAGCAGGAAGTCGACCTTCTTGCTCCAGGTCTCCCGGGGCGGCGTGTCGCCGCCGCGGGACGCCAGGAGGCACTGGACCCCGTTCCGCTCTTTCACCACCAACAGGTCTGCAGCTTTGTGCGCCCGGGGGTGCTGCTCGCATTCCGGGTCTGGGCCGCCGAGCTCCGGCTGCACCTGTGGATTCATTCGCGCCAGAAGCATGGGTGCGGCTGGCCGAGGACGTCAGCGGGACTGGAAGCTGGCCGAGGTTCTGCTGGAGAAAATAAATAATTTGGTCACTGGGCCATCCCAGCCTGTTTGCGCCTCCGAGGCTTCCCGGGAGCTCGGCACGCGCCGAGTGGACGCAGGGTCCCCAGAAAAGGGAGCGCGTGTGTTAGAAAAAATTGGAAAGAGAGGTAGCGGCCCGCGGGTCTGGGAGGGGACTTCGAGGTGGAGACCGCCCCTGCTAGCCCCGAAGTCCGGCGAGAGAGCCCCGCGGCGCTTTCCTCGCCCGCTGCTCCCTCCCGCCCCCAAATGGAGCGGTTTGGACACGCCTAGGCTGAAGTTTCCCTGGCTTGGCCCGAAGCGACTTGCTGCCCCCTCCCCCCCAAGGGCTCAGCGCCACCTCTGACAACCCCGGGAGCCTCCCCGCACGCCTAAGGGAGCGCTGCACTTCTGGCTGACACCCGCTGTGCGCGCTCAGCCAGGGTCCCCGGGCGCACCTGGCGGGGCCCGCGCGCAGGGCGCACTCACGTGTCGGGCAGCGGCGGGATCCCGGGGCCACGGTCCGGCCCGGCCCGGATCCGCTGGCCTCCGCAGGCTGAGGGGCACCCACTGGCTGGACTCGGCCGCGGGGCGCTCAGGCGCGGCCGAGGAGCGCGGGAGACGCCGGGCGGCGAGTTCTGGCCGCACCAGGCTGGGGCCGGGCTGGTAATGTAGCCTGCGCCCCAGGTAACGCGCCGATTGCATTAAGCCAGCGCCGGGCTCGTTCTGTCTGGAGCCTGTTAGCACTAATGGAGAGTGACAGCGGGGCCAGGGGTGGGCAGGGGCCGGGGCGCGGGGCGGGCTCGGGGGGCGGCGGGAGCCCAGTTGCTGGCGACTCGCGGGACGAGCGCTCGTGCCCTTTCCGGCGCAGCCGGGCCCGCGAGCAGCCCGGGGTGGGGTGGGCACCGGGCCCTCACCCCGGGTCGGATCGCGACCGGAGAGCGAGACTCCCAGAGGGTGGTCGGAGTTGCGCGCCAGACCCGGCTGGGAGAGCCGGATTCAGTGCCGACGCTGCCACCGCGGCGGCCTCCTGCACTGCCAGCCTGCGCCCCGCCATCAGCAAACCCGGCATGTTGGGCTGGCACAGTGCCTAGGGCCGCACGCACACTGCTGGGCAGACTGTTGAATGGCCTGGGAGGTGTTTGGCAGATTTTGTCTGGCTGTTTGCGGGGTGAAAGGTCACGAAGCAGCACTTACACTAGACAGCTTTATGTTTGGGGCACTCTGGAAAGGCATTTGAGGTTCCTCGCCTCTGAGACTGGCTATTCATTCCCGTGGTAACTCATGCCTGCATGTCTGCTGTGTGCCAGGCACTTTGTAGGCTTTTTGTCTCAGTGGACAACTCAGTCCTGCTCGTGGTGGAGTTTATAATCTGCCGTGGGCAGTGGGGGGGGAAGTGAGCACAATAAGTAAATATGTTGTATGGTATAGGAGGAAAAGTTTGAATGTGGTATTCACTGTAAACTCATTTATGCACTGGCTCACTCCCTCATCCATCCATCCATCCATCCACCCACCCATCC